TATATATAAATTTAAAAACCTCACTGTCATCGAGTTGATTCCAACTTTAATGATTTATTAGGTTGGCATATGCCATCAGGGCATATTTTCTGTTGAGAAACTTTAGGGAATGAGAAGTATGCTGCTCACAGAATGATTTGCAAAAATACCATGCTATAAATATTATGGCATATTCCAGCTGCTGAACACACAACTTCACTCCATGAATGTGCCTATTCCAATTGAACATGTAAGGAGATTGAGACAGAGGCTACCTACAGGCATGCTAAGGTTATACTCTAAGGGGTGGACTTTGACTCTAAGGTCTTTGATTCTAGAGCAAGTCTGAAAGTATCACCTGTCACCATTGGTCCCCAGAAGTCCTCTTCCCTACAGGGACTGAAATACCAGCCAAACACATTTAGGAAATCCCAAAGGGGACCTATAAGCAGGAGATGCTGTGCTGTCTGCAACCTACACCTGAAGCTATTGGCCCAGGGACCAAGCAAAAGGGGGCGAGAGCAATAAAGGTATTATAAAAGTGGAGAGAGAGAGAGAGAAGGATGAGGAACTGAAGAGTTCAGTGAGGTTGACTTGTGGAAGCTTAGGTCCCTGCCAGTCAAACAGTCAAACAAAGAGTCAGCTAGAACTGTATCCTGAGATCCAAGGGGCCGGTGAAGGCTGGAGGCAGAAGACCATTGTAGAAAGACTAAGAAGACTGACTCCGGTGCAATCCAGGTGGATGGTGGTGACCTGTCCAAACCAGATAGTGACAGAGCAAGAACGCAGACACGGAGGTCATCTCGGTTTGCCATGCTTGTCCCCCAAACCAAACTCACTGCCATCCTGTGGAGTTCCACTCCTGAGATTTTTCTACTCCCCTAAAGAGTTATAGTTGGAATTTCACACAGGTCACTCTGCAGACTGCTAATGCCTGATCACTGATGGGATGTGGGTGATTGGGGGGAAGGAAGAGCCAAGGTAAACTCACTGACATTGCATCAATTCTGCCTCATGGCAACCCTACAGGGTAGAGTAGAACTGCCTCTGTGGCTGGTGGTTTCAAACTGTTGAATTCGTGGTTAACAGCCCAATGTGTAACCACTATGCTATCAGGACTCTGAGCCTCAGTATACTTTCAGTAAAATGTTGCTGTTGTGAGCTGCTCTATAGTCTGCCTTGACTCATGGTGACCTTGGACACACTGGGACGAAGCACTGCCCAGTCCTGAGCCCTCCCCACGATCAATTGGGGATCAGAACATGGTGAGTCATAAGGCTTTCATAGGCAGATTTGAGGAATTAGATGAATTACATCACCCAGCCTTTATTCCTAGTCTGTCTTCGTCTAAAACCTGTTCAGCATCAGAGCAACACAAAAGTCCCGCCGACAGATGGTGGGCGGTGGCTGGGCATGAGTGTGCTGGCTGAGAATTGAACCTGGGTCTTCTGCCTGGATATCCAGAGCTTCCACTGAACTGAAGGGTCTGCAAACTCTTCCAATCAGAATGCCCCGACCCTGGGACAGTCCAGCAGGGGGCAGACAAAGGAGGAGGAAGAGGAGGAGGAGGGTGGGGGAGGAGGAGGAGAAGCCCAAAGGAAACTGTCATTGACTCACACATATGAATGCAGACAGGAAACCACAACCACAACCTCAGTGCCATCGAGAGGATGCCAACTCATAGCGGCCTTCTCGGACAGGGTAGAACTGCCCCTGTGAGTCTCCACACCATCACTCTTTAAAAAAAAAAAATCATTTTATTAGGGGCTCAAACAACTCTTACCACAATCCATACATACATCAATTGTGTAAAGCACATCTGTACATTCATTGCCCTCATCATTCTCAAAACATTTCCTCTCCACTTAA